ATTTGCTCAACTTTTTGCATTCTCAATATTCTTTCAAAGTGTGACGTTGCAATGAATTCAACAAAACAAAGTATGTCTTCCAGCCCCATGGATACAAAAGAAAATCATTAAGCTGTTCAACCATACCTAGCATTCCGTAATCAATGTGTCTTTTAGTTTGTTTAAGAACACACTCTATCAACATAACCAATCCAAGTTTCAATTTATCTTCTCGATCTTCACATGAATTGAAGGCATCATGGAGCATTCTCATAGAAATCCTTTTCACACCATTGAAATACTAGTTTCTAAGCCAAGGATTACTAAGGTCAAGATTAACAGATGGTCGTGGCAAGGTAGTCCAATGATTAAGCAAAATTCTTTTATTCCAAAACGGGCAAGATGGTCATCAAATCTTACAAGCAATTCATTGTTTTTATCGGAATTCACAATCCTCATTATGAATTCATGTATCAACTTGCTACTAAATTGTTGTTTTTCGTCTCTATACATAGATCCATATAGAAATCCATGGAAATTACTGTACGTTAATGATGATTGTTCGTCTGCTTGTAACATTTCTATCAAATCTCTAATAAATTGATGATTAGGATATTGACTAATAGTAGCATAGAACCATTGGTTTGGAGACAAGACATAATCTAGAGACATTTGCATCAGATAAGAAAACTTATTTACAAACTAATTTTTGAAGAAAATGTGTTTACAAAATAAAAATTAAAACATACCTTACACAAATATTTTCCACTTTATCCACATAACTAATCAATACATAAATATTTAGTGCTATAAAACAATGTACTCAGAGCATATATAGTTCTAGATAATCATATCACATGAGACATCTACTTTGGGAAATTTAAAGAATCGAAAGCCAACATGTCAAGGTTTCTTCAATGTACCAAGCAAACAAATATACTCAACAAAATAGAACACTGATTTTTTTAAATAAAAAAGGCAGCATCACAGTATATTCTTGACCTCCAAAAGTTAGAAATCAAAATTCAGCATAGACCATATTCCAGTTGTATGTATCCATGGAGTATATCTTTACTTTAATCATGTCTCTTTTTCTCTAAATAGAGTAAAACACAACAAAAATCTGTAAAAAATAACATTTAGCTTTTCAAATACATCAAAGAGTAGATGAGAAGTTGCCCACAAAATTTTTCACAAAAAAAAAATTTCACAACAACAGTAGGAAAACAAATTAACTACTACAAAAATAAAATCATGTAGACTAAACAATTACCTTGTAATTTTTTTTCTGAAATTGACTTAAGATTTTGCTAAAGATGAAAGATGAAAAATCCGGCTGAAAGAAAACTCCAATTTGAAATGCAAAGAAATTGATGATTTAGGCTCATATGGAACTTTTATTCACGTGAAACTAACTTTTTAGAATTTCCAGATAAAATCACGTGAATTGCTCTTGACTTTTGTTGCCATGTAAAACAAGTTTTAATATAAAACATTTTTTGGCATTTTCCAAGCAATAATTGGTTTGATAAACTCATTTTCTATTTCATTTAATTCTTTACCAATAGATTTGTTGTTATCTATAGAAATTTTTTAAAAAAAATCAATAATAATAATTAATAAGCTAATAAAAATACACTAAATAAAAAAAGTATACAAATTTCTCAAAAATTAATAACAAAAAATAAACAAAATGCATCTGCTAGAATTAATTTCATCTAATTACTAATTTAATAATTGAAATAAAGAAACATGTTGTACGGGTGCGCTCACGTCTCCAAATGTCGGGGACTCCGCACAATGCGGCGTCTCCACACAGATTTTGCGGAGTCGCACAATCTGTGCGTCCATGTAGCGACTTTTTTTTTAATTTAATCATGCAACCTAATATTTGTTTAGTTTGTTATTTTATTAGTTAAAAATATGCATTAAATCTAATAAAAAAATATAATTACAAGAATAAATTAAACTTCAATATAATACCAAAAAAACTCTCCAAAAAATAATCATTGCTAACAACAAAAGAATCTAATAAAAGCATCTAAATGTGAAGAAGACAAAAATGAAAAAAGTAAAATCTATGAAAAGAAGAAAAAGAAATAATAGTGCCAAAAAATTTGACATTATTAATCGAATGGAAAATGCATTATTGATACACAAAAGACTTTGCAGTCACCATGTGAAAAGTATGGATTTATTATGTGGTGTTAAAAAGTTTTTAAATAATCATAAAAAATCTTCTTATTACACTAATAAAATTACAATAATTTTTTTTTTACAAATAGTATAAAAAAATCATTTTTATCTTCAACAATAAAACACATTTAAAAATTAGCAATTTCATAACCACCATTCTTTTTTTTTTTTTTAAATCCTGGAGATACAATTATAAAAAAGGAAACAATATTGAATTACAACATTTAGTACTTAGAATTTAATATTAAATAAATTTTATACATTTTATATGCAGCTTACTTTACCGTATTTGCAAGCAATTTACCATATATGCAGCTTACTGTATATAATGTCTATCGTATTTGCAGTATATTGTATTTGCAGACAACTTACTGTATATGCTGCATTTGCAGCTTACCGTATTTTTATATACCAATTTTTGCACGTACAAATACCGAGAATGCAGAACACCGTATATTCACTTACCAACTCAAATGTCAAAAAAAAAATTTCAAATTTTTATTTTTTCAACATAAGTATAAAATAAATATTAAACTATATGTATGAATATGCAAGTCGATTTATAACTTTGTGTTCAATTTTCAATTTTTCAATATTGAATTACACAAAATTTAGGAATATAATCTTCACATTCAACTCAATCATATCAACACTATCAAAGAATACAGGCAAAATAGTTTGAATAACCTCGTATATTTCTTATTCAAGTATAAAATATACAAGCATATTTTTTTTTTATAACATACTATTATGCAATTGTAAAAATAATTTGTAATTATTTTCTTATATCATGGAAATATTTCTAAATATTACTTAAAAAACTTTCCAAAAAAACTAAAATTCATACATTAATAAAAATATGATAAAAACAAAATTAGTGCAATGTACATGACAAAGACTAGTATCTGATAAATTTTAGAAAGGAGAAATCATTAAAAGCATTAAAAAAATTTCTCTTATAGATCAGTTGGAGAGGGTCGTGGAGGGGAGTTCACTCGCTGGTAGTCACGTTATTCTAGGTCCCAAATGTGCATCAGATAAATGAAGTAAAACAAAATGCATCAACAGTGCTGTCAAATCCTCTTATCAGGTTCCCAGCTTTGGCACATTCAACAAATGATGGCATAAACAAACATCCTCAAAATACTCAACTAAAAAACTACTACTATTTTGGAATTGAATATCAAAGAGAAGCGAAGGAAGATTTCAACAAGACACCATTTCAGTTTACACCCTGAGAAGTGAAAATAACTCCGATGTACAATTATTGCCATCCCGAAAACAATGGCAAAAGAAATCCATGTAGCTAATCCCAAATTTGCTAAGAACAATGTTAGTTTGTTGTTGTTGTAGTACAAGTATTGCCGTCCACATCATCTAATCTGAGACCAACATTCAACTAAATCAACAAAGTTCTTCTATGCTAGGAAGCTTTGTGCCCAAAGTACATTTAAGCGAAAGCAATCTCCAAAGATTGACATTCAAACTAAATCAACAACGTTCTTCGATTGTAAGGAAGCTTTGTGCCAGGAGTACCTTCACCGGACTGCATTATCTTCAAAATAAGGGAAGGCTCTCAGGTTATGCCTAAACTGGCCAGCTAGTACAAGGACATGAGCAGGCTGAAGGGCACTCTGATTTAATCCTTTAGAGATTAAGAGTTTAGGAACAGGTTATGTTCTCCATCATAGTACCTGAATAACAGATGATTCAATCAGCTAAATATGTCGATTTTAATAGACTTGTGCACAAGGAGCAGCCATGCATATGACTCAGGTGGATTCCAACACGAGCAATTTTACATCAACATCAACAAGGAGAAATGAGGAGTTTAAAGACAAGAAAAGTTCAATAAAAATCACAAGCTAGATAAGGTATATTAATGTATTTGTAAATCATAAATGTTATATCAATTGTAGATTGCTCTAGGAGCAAAATTATATTACTAGCATCACTTGTGACCTTATGGTGTAACAATAACAATATTGTTCAACATAATTAATATGAACCGTGCCAGGACATGCCTAAGAGTGACTAATTACGTAGAGCTAAAACTGTCAGTACATGCATATAATTGCATAACAGAAAACAGGACACGTGTATCTAAGTGTTTGAAACTTGGTGTTGATATTAGAGTTCAAGTGATACGTCCGAGGTCAAGCATTAATCGATAATTTCCATCTATAACCTTTTTCCAGCAAAACTATCCTAAAATTCTGAGAAATCAGATTTTTCGAGTCAGCTGGTCAGCTAATCTAGCTCCTGGATTTGTCTCTTTTGAGGGTCGCAATGAAAAACTCTGAATATAATATATATCAAGAGGTAGGGAATTATGGTAAGTACAGTGAACTAATTCCAAGAAACCCCCCCCCAATCACACTTGCCACCTGGATGCTTATATGCAACGGCAAGTGTAGAAAGTACAAACACGTTTTTTTCTCTCTAAAATAGGAGGCAGCAATAAACCCAAGATAATATTGCTACATATTATAAGAAATAACCACCAGTGTACCTCTTCAACTTAGTATACAACCTTTTACACCCATTGCTTTGACATTCTGAGGCTTCAGGAACAACTAAAGACAGTAATCACTCAGATGGCAAGTATGAACAGAAGAACAAATTTTCAATTTTTATTATATAAAATATTACAATTGACTGGAGACTTAAATCTGTAATTTCTTTGGAGTGGAAGGAACAAAGAACTTCAAGCATTGGCACCTAATCAATAACAATGTAGCAGCTTTATTAACTACTTTGGATGTTTAAAGGTTATCGGACATTTGGCCCCCCAATTTGACCCCCCATTTTTGGGGAATGTATTTTTGAATAGTGATTTTTTAAAGAATGTACAGTTAAAAATAAGTACAAGTTTTGAATTTACATATAAAATTATTTTATGGGAAAACATGTGGATAATAATTAAGTTTTGAAAAAATGGGGGTCAAACAGGGGCTTAACATCACAGGCTTAGAATGCCTTCTCTTGTCAATGAATTAGACACAGGACGGTTAGTTCCACACCCCCACCCTCTTCCTTTTTCTTGTCATTCTTCAGCAAATTTATGGAAAATGTAGCGGCGAGGAAGCTGATGTATCTGTAATCTGCTGTTTGTTAATGAACTCCCTTTTTAAGGTTCTGTATAACTTATTTATTTTTATTAAAATTTTAATACAATTTCTTCAGATTACTGATATTTTACAGTCGCTCCAAAATTTATTTTTTCTTCTAATCATAACCAATTAAAAGTTAAGGGATATATCCAATGATTATTGATTTGAAAGATGGAAATGCTATGATCAAGTCTACTCACTCTCTCCCGATCAAGTCAACTCACTCTCTCCCGATCAAGTCTACTCACTCTCTCCCAACATAAAGCTGATTAATGTGTTATGTTGGGAAATATGAGGGTGGAGATAGAACTCAACTTGTTTACGATGATTCTTTAGGAGAATACATGATCTCTCCAGTAAAACAAAGGTTCTTGAGTGCCCATAAAAAATAATGCTTTTAAAAAATGATTAAGAAATGAACTATTGAATTCATTCAGTGGAGACACTAGTGTTGTATTTTCCTTTTCCATGTTAATCTTTCTCCGAATTTAAGGAGAAATCTGAGGTTCAAAAATTGTTAAATTGCAGTCATTAAAAATTATAATATATTCATACCATTGGGATTTCTTTGCTCGTAGAAGCTTCTTAGAAGATTGACAGCATCTGATGCCATTATTCCCTCCAATACATTTGAGCTTTTCAGAGATTTTTGTATGCAACGACAATATTGCTCCCCACCCCACCAAATTTATCATCTGCACAGCCATGGTATACTTCTTCGATACCTAATAGATCATAAGATGGTCACTTCTCTTAAAGATAACAATCAAACTCGACAATATATTCAAATAAACTTTCTTGAGCATACCAATAACCGATAAAGCAGCTCCACACATTATGCATCGCTCACATGTAACATAAAGAGTGCATCTTGAGAATTTCAAAGCAGCTTCTTCCCCTGAATGTCCAACTTACTTCCACTGCTCAAGTAGCACATCAATTGTTTCCACCTCTGCATGTCTAGTAGCCTGCATATTTATATTACAAGAAAATGGAGCCCCTAAATACATGTGGATATAGGACATCTGAAAGATAAGAAGGCTGTTAACTAGCACCTGTTCCTCAATAAACACAGAAAAAGCAG